AATCTGCAGTGAATTTTCAAAAGTTAACATCCCCAGTGGCTCGAGTAACCGTTTGTCCTTTGAAGAATATCAAAGCTCTCAAACTAGTTAACATATCGAAAATTGTGCCTCGCAAGTCGCTATGATAGAATATTACTTACGCGAGGAGATTACTTACGGGGTATACTACAACTGCGATTTAGAAGGACGCTTTTCGTCGAAGAAACATAATTTAACAAACCCTATCAAACAGATACCGCATGTAGAGCGGAAATGTGCTCATCAGTCGGTGTAATCATTCTCAAAACATGGGATGGAAATTATGATGAAGGCCAGCTTGTCTTTGCGACTTTTAAAAGTAGGTTTTTTGGTGGATGTGCTTCGATTTGGAAAATTAGGTCAAGTGAGTTTGAAAAATAAAATGATAAAATCAGAACCAAAGAATAAAACTAAACAAAACCAAATCGACCTTTGGTTCTCAGGCAGGAAACAGAGAATACTTTGTTAACTGTTGGACCGATGGGTCAATGGAGCAATAGTCGACAAGGCTTGGATTTTCAGTATTTTATTGAAAACAATACGACGCGATAATCTGAAGATTTGTCCAACCTTGTCAGGTACATAGATTTAAAGTCAGAAACATACACCTTCCAGTTGAAAAAAAAGGCCCTCAATCAAAACACCTTAGTAAACCATGTATTGCGAAATCTCAAGACGAAAAGAAAAACGTGTTACATGTAAATCACGTGAGCTCAATGGGCGTAAATTAGCGTACTGTAAATGGTTAAAGTTGTGTAGTGAACGAAAACCACTACAGTAAACTTACAGAATTTTGCTTTATAGGGTGCGGAAGAGAGTTGCATTGCACTCACTTAAAACTTGACGAGTATGGATTGTCAAAAAACTGTAAGGCATTTAGCCATATCGTTAAGGAAGTTTTAATTAACTTAATTATTTCAGCGCAATCGTGTAATTATCATGAGGCAGTGGTCAACTAAGATAAATATTCCGAATCAGAGTTGTAAATGATGTAACGATTTGAAACTACATTGTGTATTTTATGAAGCTCGTTTGTACAGCTATCTGTGAGATCTGCATACAGTAAATTGAAAACAAGATAGATTTCGTAGGGATGTAGATTATTTTATAGATATTTAAAACATTTCACATTATTTTCAAGCTACATAAAGATGCTAGTCAGTACGGTTTTGATGAACTGCATATGACTGCAAAGTTATCATCCAACAGCTCCTATCAGTTTAAGGATGCCTTTCAAGTTATAGTAATAATCTAATTTCCTAACTTCGTGCGCTGAACGAAAATCTCGAATCTAGTGGACGAAGACTA